TCCTGTTTACTTAGTATATTTTTGAGATATAGCAACACCGGTGATGATCACCAGTGGTGGTAAATAGCAAAATTCTTGTTAATATATTGCTAATATTAGTATTTATTATTACAATAATTAGCAAATATATTAAATTATAGTATTAAATACTTATTTTTGCAAAGTTTTTCATTTAACAGTACATTATTAGCACTATTAAACAGTATATTTTTAGCAAATTTTTAGTAGTTCAATTTGGACAGATTTTATAAATGTTGTTAGTCTAATTTTAAGATTTTAGTAACTGTTCAAAGGTACTGGAAAAAACTAATAAAATTTATCTAAATCAGCCGGGGTCTCAAAAATAAAAGGAGCTTTGATAGTTTTTCCCTTTAACTTTTCTAAGCCCTCCCCAGAATAGCTAACCAACGGTGAAATTTCAAATGAAAGATTATCAAATGAATCACCCTCACCTGGTATGACTGTGCCGCCAGCCTTTTCAACAAATCTCACATACAGGTTTATAATATCCCTTCGGCATGTTTCGGGGTTATCACACGCGGTATTCGGACCATTCTTTAAAGGTGAGAACTCATCCTTTCTGTCAGCTTCAAGAACCGCCATACGTTTTGTGAAAGGAAAAACGCCAGAGACGAAAAGTTCAAGTTTCATACCATTTGGTTTTGATGGAAAAATTAATTCTCCTGTGTTAATGTCAATATGTTTTATCTTCTTATTTGCTATATGATATTCAAGTTCATTTTCAAATGATTCTACATGCTTGAGGAAATCAACTGTATAGAAATGGTTTGCAATACTAGCTGCACCATAGGTAAGTTGACCGTTAGGTTTTCTCTGTTCAGCGACCGCAGGTTCAATTTCACTACATCCTATTGCGATAAACTTGCCATCACGAAGGGCAATAACACCTGCAGATTCATGTGGATCAATTCTACGAACGACTTTGGTACCACAGTCAACGTTTTTAGAAATACAATAGCCAATGAAAATTGGGTCTGCAACGCGAACAAGGCAATTATCAACACAATAAACGTGAACATAACTAATATTTCTCGCTATCATTGATTCAAAAATCTTCTCCTTTCGTAAGGCAACATACATTCCACCATTACCATTAGGTGCAACGGCAAGCTAAACAATTTTTAAAACAACAAAGCATTATATACGTACATAAATTATATATAGTTATTGAATGCGTAACAGACAATAATAATCCATTATTAGATACATACAGTAGACTTTGTTTCCATAAGTACTTTTCCTTCATAGGTCAATGCGGGTAAAGTACCTAATTGTAAAATTCAACAAATTATTAAAATTTAATAACTATAATCTGATTTAAATGATACAATATCAACTGGAATAACTTGAATGAATACGGTTTTTTTTTTTTACCTTGTTCAAAAAAGATAACGTTCTCTTCTTTTAGTCCAAAATAATTGTGTTGTTTAAAAAAAGTTTCTGTAGCAAATCTTATTGGGCCACTGATCATTATATACCATGGAATTATCACTTCATTTTTGGTTTTCTAATATCTTGTGCGACTTTTTGTAATCTTAGAATACGTTCGGCTTGAAGTTGAAACAGGGATTTACCCGATGGTAGATGAATATCATAACAACCTTTTGGAGCTGATGAACCTAATCTAGTTCCTTGACCACCAGCCATCAAAATGGCGCAAACTTTATTTTGAGCAATCATATTAAAACCTAATTTTTCCCATTCTTTGATCTTATCTTCATTTGTATCTAATACAGAATCAAATACATCATCGGGTAATGGTTCTAAATTTTGGTTTTTATTATTAGAATTTCTTGACGTAGCAACTGCTTTTTTGAAAATTTGATTAACGCGTTCAATATCAAGCTTATCAAGTTGGTTGAGAAAAGTGGTCTGTTCTTCAGGTGTAAGATCTTCATAAAAAGTAAAAAGATGATCTTGACCAGCAGCAGTATACCTGGCCTTCAATGATTCAATTTCAGCTATAGTAGGAGACATCTTATTCAAATCTTGAGTTCTTGAGTTTTTTAAAAGTCATGTCTTTTTATAGTATCATAAATAATCTGCAGTAATACAATAATAATATACCATATATGGGATCCCACAGCAAAAGGGGATGGGCCAAAAAATTTGATGTTTTACTTTCATGATAATTTTATTCCAATCAATCTAATTCTTCAAGATATTGAATTTTTTTAAAAAAAAAAATTTTTGGCTCATCCTCTCTTTTTTCTATGAGGGACCCCGATATGTAGTTAGATAAACCCGATAGTCATGCTAACGATCAGAGGAAATGTCCCCTAATATTTGATGTAACGTGTTCTAATATAAAATCGGCAGATAATTTTGTGCGTCTCTAATTAAGTAAAAAAAGGTGTGCTACAAGATGCAAGGTAAGGTTACAATGCAGGATCGCTTAGATTCTATTGCTATATTAAAAAAAAGGAACTTTCTGCAAAGGAGTCGGTCATTGCATATTCTCGTAACATGTATCTACCAACGTTACGACTAGAAAACAAAAATACAAAAGAAAATGTAAAGTGGAATAGTAGTATTCATTATTAATAAACGCAACTCATGAAATCTACAATCTATAAACTAAAACTTATTACGGTTGATAGTCCAAAACACGATGAGTATTAAACCCGGATCTTCTTTTACAATAAACTTATTCAGATTCAATAGCTAGTAATAAAAAGTTTTTTTTAAAAACTTAAATAAAACAGTCTTGAACAAAACGTTCACACTTCATTTTCAGTATGATCCAATAAACATTAGGTATATTTGTCTTATAAGCAAAGTTCGTCGGAAGTAAGAGATTCCTCTGCTAATAAATATTGGCACTTATGGATACACATCATTGCCATCTACGAAATCTGGTGGTGGTATTCACAAACAAGATGGGGTAAAAAAAATCCCGGAACCGATATTACCCCACGTAATTAAAAGTCGAATAGGCAAAGAAGTGAAAGTGCTGCGAAATAGAGGGCCACAAAACAAAGAAATAGAAAAAATTCTCAAGCAAATAAATGCAATTCAATCATAAGTGATATATGATGTAAATATATACATGTAAATATTGTAAATAGATTTAGATACAAATAAATTACGCCATATGGCGTCCCACTAGTGGGGTTTAAAAAAAAATAAAAATAAAAACATTGGCACTATTTTAAGCTATGAATGGTTTTTGCAATTTTTTATTAATAAAGCGGTGTGCCACCAAAAAAGTACTTTAAAAGTATATAAATAAGTTACCTGGGCAATTGCAATCCCTGCTTGACATTTTTACTTGATGAATGGGCAAGCAAAATTTGGTAATTCCGGCCCCAAAATCGTGGTCGCATGTCATGTGACCAAAATTAAATTCTCGATATGTAACCATCCTCGCGTCAAATCCTGATTGAGAATTTCCTTTTCGAATTCCTGCAGTAATCCAATGATTTATGTATGCTAGTAAAATTCGGGCTATCCGGCGCTAAGATAATGCAAGGCTGAAATGTGTGTCAAGTCACGACTAATTGATTAACATCGGCACATTTTTAAGGTTAGGTTGTTCAATATTACGTAATAATCGGTTATTCGGTGTTGCACTTCGGTTTTCGAATTTCTATATTTCTTTTTTAAACTTTAAATATTGATATAGAAATAATATGAGATGCGCCTTCGATAAAATTATTATATAGCATTTTGTATAAATATGAAGTTAAATTGCAAAGTTCTCTATCCGAAATAATTTTGATATATTAAAAAATACGATACTTTTAATAAGATTTTTTTTTCAAATGAAGTTCAACACCGAATAACCGATTATTACGTAATATTGAAC